CCTCCCCCCTCCCCCCTGCCCAACATCCAATAGATGTTATTCTTATATGTGCACTTATGTGTTCATGATCATAGATTTTAAATGATAAACTGGTAGAAGGGTTGTCAGGACAATTTCAATTCTCAAAATGTACATCTTTTATTTCTTTTGTTATTTATCAGCATGCTACAGTGAGTGACATAACTATTAATTATATCATTTGGAAATAAGTATTTTTGCTCATTTTTGCAGTGAATTGTTTAGTCTTAGTACAGTTATTTGTTATACTACCATTCCTAACACTGAAATTCGATTCCATTAGATGTTTAGAATAACTGAGTCATAGAACAAAATCAGATTTCGACCTTCTCATTTAACATAAAAGCACACTAAGACCTAGAAAGTGACTTCCCAAAGTCACACAGTTAATAGCAGACCTATTACCTGAACACAACTCTTGACCACTGGCCCAGCGGTCTTTTCAGTGCTTCTCATGGCAACTTTATATTCAAGATGACTTCATTCAGAAAGGGAGAAAAATAAAATCAAATAAGTCTTCACTGAAATTTATACTACAGGTATTAGGGTAGACTTTCCTCTGAAACACTTCAAGATATGTATTATTATTCTCATTCCTAAATTTGAGAGAACCTAGCTGAATTTCAAACAGTTTAAGTGACTTACCCAAGGCCATTTTGTAAGTGACGGATCTGTCAGTCTAAAAAGCTTATTCGTCTATCACCCTACTACTGTCCCTTCATAATATAGATAAGTCAAACATTTCCACAAAGGAGAACTAGAACAGGAACAAAAAACTAATAGCAAATTAATATCCATTTTCAGGAAAATGCTAACAGTTAACATTCACTATAAATAATGCCATCTGTGCATAATGGTACATAATTGAAAGTTATAGGTTAGATACTCTTTACATCCTGACATGTTTTCATTTAGCTTGCTAAATTTGTTTCTCTAGTCCTCCAATGTTTTTAGTTCCTTGTAATGTCTGTAGACAGTATAGCCCTTGACCAAGTAGTTCTACAGGACAAAGGCATTTTCTCAGGTAGACTGAAGGAATCAGAATGTGAACAACATTGAAAAGCTTTATACTGCGTGCCGTTTCTCTTCTTTGACTTGTAACATTATTATTCAGAAAATTAAATACTTCTCCAGGCTGTCAAATAGCTAAAATGAAATGATACCCCCTGAATATCTGCTTTCTATGCAGATTTTCCCCTCTAGCTGTCTATAATAGAGAAAGAATAAAAAGGAAAAGGAAAACATACCAGGTATATTCAGGATAGAGTCTATAGCTGTATTATTTCTATTAATTGTCCTTGAGTTCTTACTTTCCCTCCCTTCCTTCTTCTTTCTTTCTTTCTTTTTTCAAGAGAAAGAGAATAAGAGAGCATTTATTCCTGATTCCCCAATATCTGACAAAACTATCAGAAGTTTTTGAATGTGAAAATATATTTTTATAGCTTTTATAACTAAAACTATATTTATTTGTCCATTACGTTCTGTTCAAATCAAAGTGTAATTAAAATCTTATTCTGTGAGTCTCCCTTTAAATCATGTCCTTGTACTGGGGATATTCTTTATGTAAACGCCAAGACCCTAGGTTAGATAAGGCAAGATCTTCATTCATAGTCCTGGTTACTAAACACACCATAAGTCAGAAGCTATGCGCCTTGCCTCCTTGCTTTGATCTTGCCTTTAGGAAGTTGGCTGAGCTCAGGGGCAGCAAGCCAATGACTTGGAGTAGAAAGGTATAGATGGCAGATGAGTCTCCAGGGAATTTTATTATCTTCATTTAAACCTTCTTCCGAGGTTCTTTAGGATCACATTTCAGTCTTCTCTTTTTTTAATTGATGAAGGTGAAGTGTTCTTAGACATGGCATTATCTGTTGCTGCTGTAAGGATGACAAGATCCCAGTCCCATTCAAATTCAAAAAACAGAGAGTTCATGTTTCAAATTCCCTGATCTGACTGATCCTAGGCACAATGAAGTGAAGTACGCTCTTTGAATGGTAAACAAATGCTACAGATTAAAAATGCACCTTTATTGACTTTCACAGACCCTGGAAAAAGGAAGCCAACTCTGTAAGACTGTGTCATAAATTAAAAAAAAAAACACTACAGATTAGGGACAGATATTCTATCCAACACTTTAAACCCTCTTTGGTTTTCTAGGAAATGCAGAAGTAATATAAGGTCTTCTTTAAAAAATAAAAAGGAATCCTGCAAAAGGCAAAGTGATGGTGACAATTTCATTGTGTTTTAACCTGAAGTATATAAATTATTCAGATAAATTAAATACAGACAAATATCCTTAGAAATCCATAAAAAATTAGATTTTCCCCAGAAATCAGATACTGAGCCTTTCCTCCCCAACTCCCAAGTCGAAATGTTACAGTAAATGTTTCTTTCAATAAAATAGTTTTCTCCTTTGCTGTAAATGTCCTGTTCATGGTTGGGCAGATTTCTCCAGAACATAACTGGAAGACCATCTACATCACAACAGAACTATGTAAGCCAAAGCCAAGTTCCAACATGGAGTGAAGGGAGAGGCTGGGCTGCCGAGAGGAGATGACTTCATTAGGGAGAAGAGAGGCTGTCTGAGTCGGTCCACACGGCAGCCAAATGGCTCAGCACATCTGCACTCATCCTGGGAGAATGCCTGAAGCAGAGCATCAAAAACACTACCGTTTTTATAAAGAAAAAGATCATGGCACAAAGAAAGTAGTCCAACTAAATCGAATCAAAGATAGTATCAATCTTACTACCCTCCTTAGTCACTTTCTCAAGGGCTTTTCCTTCCTTCCCCAAAGCCTAAAAAAAAAAAATATAGGTCATTTTTAATAAAGCATTTGTCTGACTGGAGCAAGACAAACTGAAGAGTCTGGTTTCTGAACACAAGGAAGCGGTAGAGATCTTAGAATCTATGAGGCAGAGCAGAACACAACGCAGAGGTTTTCTTAAGAGGCAAAACTTTTGTAGTTGCTGTTTATTTTCAGAGGCTACTAGTCTCCACTTATTTAATTAGACTGCAATGGGACCCAGAGACAAGGAGCTTAATGAAAGCTGCTGCCCTGATGATGCAAAGAGACACCATGGCATCACCGATGTCTTTGTGGTGAGCAAAGGTAAAAAGTAAGACAGAAAACAAAGCAACTTCTAGCGAGAAGAATAGAGAACTCTAGAGTGGGTATCAGATCAGCATATAGAACTAACAAGCAGGAATTCCATTTTTATTGTATCAGTAAAAAGAATCACAGGACTAGTTCTCGTTCCAAAATACAAGAAACCACATTTTAATCCTAGGCATCAAAGGAGGTCAAATATTTGTTGTAATTATTCAAGAAAAAAAAAAGAGGAAAATATCTATAAGACTTGGCAAATACTTATCACAAGCAGAATGCTTTCAATTTCTATTTTTATTCTCTGTTCAA